GTGTGAGAGAAAATGAGTCTAGTATTTGGAACAATGTACGTTTAAACACCAGTTATATTTCAAAGTCATTTTAAATTACTTGTTTATTCTTCAAGTTCATGTCATTTTACATTTCATTTACTTTTCTGCAAGTTTTTAGCCTTCCGACATCTTTTTGTTCTTGTTTAAACTTCTAACTTTATTTCATCTTTAAGTTCAAACTTCGTTACTTGCAAAATCAAAGTCCTTAATACTTTGACAATATTGATAAAACAAACCACAAATTAGTCACCAAAAGTCTAAGAGTATTTCGACAGAACCAAATGCACATGTATCCTAGGACTTGTATGGTTGGTCCTGCAAGTAACCCAACTTTCTGAAGAAATTGGTTAACCAGAGGTTGTTCGCCAGAAAACACAGCGAACACCTATCCGATAAGACTTGGGAGTTTTACTATTGTATCAAGTTATAAACATTGTTCAAAAAGTTGGAAGCTCATTGCATGCTTATATTAACTTGCAATTGATGAATATTATAAAGCATATCTTGTCCATGTGTTAATAATTGCGATGGGATTGCTGTGAGAGTTGGCCTTAGAAAAGATGTTGTAGAGATTGGAAAAATGGAAGGGCTTGAAACGTTCCCTGGTCAACTCTTGGAGGAACAAGAACTTATTGTGCATGAGCGAACAAAAAGGTCACTAGTACTGGATTGTCCTCTATTGAAGGAGGAGAAGAAGTCTTGTTAGATTCAGTAGTCGCAGCAACTGCTTGCCATTGAGCAACAGACCTAGTAATCTTTGATGTCATTGTGGCTTTGCAAGTTCGATATCTAATATGTTCAAGAAAGAGATTGGTGTTTTGCGAAAAGAAGATCAGTGATTCGTGTTTCAGTGAAGAGACAATGGTTTTCGTGAAAAAACGACGAGAGTCAAAAATCTATTTTTACAATCGGGATCACTGTTCCACTCAAGAAACCAAAGATAAATGATGGAGTGATAGAATGAAGCTCATACACGTTGGATCAAATCTTGAATACGGTGGATTAGACTTTAAATATAAATATATATATATATATATATATATATATATATATATATATATATATATATATATATATATATATATATATATATATATATATATATATATATATATATATATATATATATATATATATATATATATATATATATATATTGATTCTTTATATGCATTATGTATACACACTATTATATATTTTAAAATTGTTTTAGGCGAATAATTTAAATTAAATACATGACAAATTTAACGTGTTTTGACTTTTAATTATTTGACACCTTAATAGTTAATTACTTTTAACTTTGTAGGAGATTAATTTAGTGTATTCTACTTTTAAGTAGGATGTCTCAATATTACTATAACAGCAATTTTCTATATATAGGCTGAATCAATTTATTCAAAGAAAATCAAGTTAACAATTATTTCTTCATTAATATTTTTTAACAAAGTATAATTATTTTGGAGAAATGCAAATATCTTCTCATTCCCTAAAACATAGAAGTGTCCCTGTATTTATTGATGATCAATCTCCTCCATTTTTTTCCTCTTTCTATTAGGGCTTACTTTTGTGTTCCCCTGTGTTTATTACACAACAAACACAGGTGTGAACCATTATTATTCATATCCTATCCCAAATCCAAACACTCGCTTAATTAGTTTTGATTTCACATATCAATTAATGGAAACTTCAAGAGGCAACGGAACCGTTTCAGTTTCTTACGATCGCCATGGATTGTTGGAAGTTTGTGTAAAAAACGATAGAAATGTTGGCTCTTATGGTATTTTCTTGGGAGATAATCCATTCGATTTCCCTCTTCCTGCAACAATTTTCCAACTCATCGTTATCATCACAATCTCTCAAGCGCTTTACTTTTTGCTCAGGCCGTTACAAACCCCCAAATTCATCTGCAGCCTTCTCGTAAGCTCTAACTAACTCATCCTCATCCATCCATTTCATCCTCACTTTTACCCTCCCTATTTCTAATTTTCCACATTTTTCCAATTTTAAAAGCGATAAATTAAATTATATTCTGCTCGAGCCTGACGTGTCTGTCTGACCCGAGTACATTATCGCTAACAACTTTTATATTAGCTAACTAACTTTTAGGTTGATATTTATGTGTGTAGGGTGGAATTCTGTTGGGGCCATCATTTCTAGGGAAGAGTGAAATTTACTGGAAAGCATTATTTCCAGCGAGACAAGCTGATGTTTTAGTAGTGACGTCGATAATCGGAGTTATATACTTTCTGTTTTTCGTTGCGCTGAAAATGGATCTACTAATGACTGTAAGAGCAGCAAAGAGTACATGGCGACTCGGAATAATACCTTTCCTGGCTTCTTTTATAGTGATATCAACACTTATAAATGTGTTTTATTTACCAAATAATTTTCCTCATCTCAAATCAGATACATCGCGTACAGCATTAAGTGCTACAATGGCATTTAGTAATTTCCCTGTTGTGTCTGAAGCGTTGATAGAATTGAACCTCATAGCAACTGAATTAGGACAGATTGCTTTGTCTTCTGCCACGCTTAATGACGTCATACAGTTTTCTACCATAGTGTCACACCATCTCACGGACACTACGAAAGTGAAATATTTAGTCTTTGGTACGATGAGTTGGGTTTTGTTCTTGCTTTGCAGCTTCTTCATTTTAAGACCAATTATGAAGATGATTGCACAAAACACGCCGATTGGGAAACCGGTGAAACGGATTTATGTTGTGTTTATTCTTCTTGGTGTTCTAGTTATGGCGGGTATAACGGATATAATTGGGGTGACGTTTCTTATTGGACCGTTGATTTATGGTTTGGTTATACCAAGTGGACCTCCTTTGGGGACAACATTGGTTGAAAAATGTGAAGTTATTATCTTAGAATTTCTGTTACCTTTCTTCTTTGCTGATGTTGGCATGACCACAAATCTCTCTGTACTTCACAGTTGGAAAGAGTTTCTAACGTTGCAACTTATATTATTTGCGGGAGACATAGCCAAGGTTATTGCTTGCGTGTTAGTGTCTTTATCCTATGACATTAAGCCCAAACATGGCACGGTGCTTGGACTCATGTTGAACATCAAGGGCGTCACTCACCTGATTGCTCTTACTAAATTAAGGAAACTCAAGGTATGTAATAGTTTAATTTGTCGAGGAGAATGACACATGTGGTCCGTGACATTATAGTTTGATACAAGAAATTACATTTATGTTTTGCAGATATTGGAGGATGAAACTTACAGTCACTTGGTGCTTTCTGTGATGTTGACAACCGGATTCATCACACCTATCATTAAAATATTATACAAGCATCGTCCTCGAGCACTAAAGTCATCACATATATATGATGGTCAGATGAGAACAATCCAAAATTCTTCTAGAAATTCAGAGTTTCGCATTGTTACTTGTTTATACAACGAAGGAAATGTGCGTGGTATCACTACTCTGTTAGAGGTTTGCAACCCAGTTCCAGCTAGCCCGTTAGGTGTCTATGTGATTCATCTCATCGAGCTTTTAGGAAAAAGTGCACCAATTTTGCTTCCAATTAATTACAGACGAAACAAAAAACTTTTGTCTGTTAACTACCCCGACACAAACCACATCATGCAAGCATTTGAGAATTACTCTAACAACTCTTCTGGTCCGGTTATTGTTTTACCGTATGTCAACGTGGCACCTTATAAGAGCATGCACGATGCTGTTGTCAACTTAGCACAAGACAAATTGGCTGCTCTTATTATAATCCCTTTTCATGAAAACAACCATATTGATCTCAGTGGACACACATCAACTTCAATTCGAAAACTCAACACTAGGTTCCAAGCGCACGTGCCTTGCACATTGGGGATATTGGTCGATAGATATTCGCGACTTGGTGCGGCGAACACGAAAAATTATTTCCATGTTGGGATATTTTTTATTGGCGGGCCTGATGACAGAGAAGCACTGGCTTTGGGAATTCGAATGTCGGATAGAGAGAATATGAAGGTGTCTTTGTTTCGGTTCATTGTGATGAATAAAAAACAATGTGTAAGTAAATCTCAATCAGGTAGAGAAATGTCAGTAAGTGAGCAAGAGTATGAAGACATGTTGGACGAAGGTTTAATCGACGAGTTTAAAAGTATGAAATTTGGGATTGGTAATGTTTGTTGGTATGAAGTTGCGGTGGAGGATGGAGTAGAGGTAATGAAGGCGATTCGCGGTTTGGAAGGAGACTATGATCTTGTGATGGTTGGGAAGAGACATACTATTGGATCTTTAAGAGATGAAGAAATGGGAAACTTCATAGAGAATGTTCAAATATTAGGGATATTTGGAGATATGTTGTCATCAACAGAGTTCTGTATTGGAATGGTTCCTGTTTTGGTGACACAATGTGGTGGGGATAAAAGAGCAATGAGGCTTGATAGAGTAGGTTCAAATAATGTATCTGAGAGAAGTGTATTTAATGGATCTCAGAAAAGTGTATTTAATGGATCTCAGAAAAGTTTAAATGTTAATAAATAAATGTTTTTTTTCTCTATCTTTTGGATTTGTAGATATTCAACACAACACTTACTTTAGTGATATTATAAATGTAATAAATTGAACACGGTAAAAAAAAGTAATAAATTAACTAACATCAAAAGTATCAACATCAACTAACATGTTTTATATTTTTTTTAATCTAAATTTAACTAAAATCCAACTCATATTATTTGATAAAAAATTTTCTATAATTAAATTTTGACCTCATTCAATGATTCAAATAATTATATTAAGTAAAAAGACATCATATAATCCACTTCATTAATGCTTGAAAATTTGATGCCAGATTATAGTTAACCTGTCTTATCTACCAATTTAGAGTCAATGAAAAATGTGACATACATAAATATAATTGTGTTGTTCACTCCATTTGTTCCTCAAAGTGTTTATGTATGCAATTTGCATACATAAACACAAGAGAGAAACGTATTTGTTTTTCCTATAAATTAAAAAAAAATGTCTCTTGATAAACGCTTTCCACTTTCCTCTAATGGTCCTCATTCAATCCAAAAATGTTTCAATAATAGAACATTAGGCTCATTAGGCATTTGGTTTGGTGATAACCCATTTGATTTTGCGCTCCCTATCACATTGTGCCAAATCATTCTATACTTCATTGTTTCTCGAACACTTCATTATGTCCTAAGACCTCTACAAACACCCAAATTCTTATGTTGCGTCATTGTAAGTATTTTTGTCTCTTGTCTATTTCATTGTTTTCTTTTGTTAATTTAGTAATAAAATACAAACATATGTACAATATTGTATAGGTCGTGTCAGTATTTATGTCTGGGTCAATATAGGTCGTGTTTATGGTGTGTCTAACTCAATTTTTTTATAGGGTGGTGTTCTATTAGGCCCAACAGCCATAGGGCGAAACGTAAGATTTCTGGATTCATTGTTTCCAGTAACGCAAGCTCCATTCTTAACAGCATTGGCAAAAATAGGTTCATCCTATTTTGTATTCATCTATGCATTGAAGTTAGATGTAATCAACAACTTAAAAACAGCCAAACGTTGTTGGAGATTTGGTGTAATCCCTTACTACTCATGTTATTTCGCGACATCAATTCTCTTAGCATTGTATAGACCTCGCGGAGATCAAAAAGAAAACACTACAGGCTCAGTATATTCAATCCCAAACGTCTTCACTATTTCCAGCTTTGCTGTTGTTTCTGAAGCCTTAACAGAACTCAATCTTATAAGCACAGAATTAGGACAAATCGCTTTATCTTCGTCAATGGTTAGCGAAATGCTCCAATGGGTTACGATATCACTCCAATTCAGTTCAAAAACAAATTTTGTACTGTCACTTGGATTCTTGGTTTGCACTTGCTTATTTGGTTTATCCTTCTTTTTTATTGTTAGACCAATGGCCAAGTTTATCATTCAAAGAACCCCGGTCGGGAAACCGGTGAATGAAATATATATAGTTATGATACTTTTGGGTGTTCTAGTTATGGCCGGCATTAGCGATTTACTTGGTTTACATTTTGTTATGGGACCTATTTTATTTGGTTTGGTAATGCCTAATGGCCCTCCCTTGGCAACAACAATAATAGAGAGAAGTGAGTTGATTAATCAAGAATTTCTTATGCCATTTTTCTTTTTATATGTTGGCGTAACCACAAATTTTGGTGGAGTTAACAAACATTGGAAGGTTGCTCTTACATTTCAAGCTATCTTATTTGTTGGATCCATGGTAAAAGTGCTCGCATGCGTTCTTGTTTCTCCCACATATAATATGCGATATAAACATGGCTTGGTGCTCGGACTTATATTGAACATCAAGGGTATCCTCGAACTAATATTTTTCTCTAGACTCAAAAAACTCATGGTACTAGTTAAAATTATTTACTAACACGCAACCATGATCGTTAATTAGTTTGTTCAATTTATTATGTTAATTTTTGAATAATTATTTTGCAGATTATTGATGATCATGTATACAGCCAAATGGTTCTATACGTCGTGCTGATGACCGGGATATGCATACCCTTGATAAAATCTCTATATAAAAATCGATCTCGTGTGTTGATAGATAAACGCATACATGAAGGTGGAGAAAGAACAATCCAAAGCACATCTAATAATTCAAAGTTCAGCATAATTTCTTGCGTACACAACGAAACAAATGTTCGTAGCATGATTGGTTTATTAGAAGCTTGTAACCCATCAAAGGGAAGTCCTTTATATGTCCACATTGTTCATCTCACGGAGTTATTCGGAAAAAGCATACCAATTCTTCTACCTATAAATATGAAAAACAAAAAATCATTATCCATAAATTACCCGAACAGCAGCCACATTTTACGCGCTTTCGTGAATTACTCCGAAAATTCTAAAGGCCCTGTCACAATTAACTCATATATTAATGTGTCTCCTTACCATACCATGCATGAAGCCATTTGTAACCTTGCCGAAGACAAATTAGTTCATTTCCTCATCATTCCGTTTCATGAAAATGAACAAAGTTTAGGGAACAATGTTGGATCAACAATTCGTGAGCTCAATAGTAATTTTCAAGCTTGCGCGCAATGTACCGTTGGAATATTGGTTGATAGATACTCGCAAATTAGTACAAGTGCAACGAACTTATCGTTTAATGTTGCTATATTTTTTGTTGGTGGACAAGATGACCGGGAAGCATTGGCGTTGGGTATTCGAATGTTTGATCGGCCTAATACAAATGTTACATTATTTTGTTTCATCTTTCATAACATTAGTAGTAATAGTAATAATCGTTCGGGCGTTGTTGAATATAAAGTTGATGATAAAGACTATGAAATATATGAGAGTATGTTGGATGAGAATTTGATAGATGAGTTTAAGGCTAAGAAAATTAATAATGATAATGTTGTTTGTCGTGAGATTGTGGTGGATGATTGTAATCAAATGTTGGAAGCGATTCGAGGTTTAGAGAATGAAGACTATGATCTTGTGATGGTTGGTAAGAGACATAACATTGGTGATTTAACAGATGAAGAAATGTCAAATTTTATGGATAATGCAATTTTGTTGGGTGTTTTTGGAGATATGTTGGCATCTACTGAGTTTTGTAATGGAAAAGTTCCTATTTTGGTGTTGCAGTGTGGAGATAAAAGAGTTAATCAATTTAATACATTATTTTAGTGTTTCTTAGGATTTTTGTTAGTTTATGGTTTTTTTAAATGTAGTTTAAGAGTTTTTGTTTTTCATTCATGAATTTGTTGAGAGAAAAAAAGTTGGGTGATTTTAGACTCATTCATGAAACACTAAGTGTTAGCATACCATTTTCCACATTTTTTACTACTTCATATTTCACAAGAATGTCATCTCCCATTCTTGATTGACTCTCCATTTTCAACTTAAAGATTACCTCCTCACTTAACCCAACAAATATGCTACATTGGTTTCCAAGTAGATCATTTCTGTGGATTAGCTTCCATGTAGAGGCCAAATTGCTTAAAGAACACACCGGCTATACTAAAACTTAAAATTTTTACTCCCATGTTTAAAAGTTGTTGGCTTACTTTTGCTATATTTAAATAGAAAATATTTTAGTGATGGTTACAACAAAAAAATAGAATTAGTGAGGAGAATTATCAAATCTACATAGAAGGAGAAAACAAAGAAAACAAAGTCGAATAGTAATATAAAAATTATAGGGATCGTTAGAGTTAGGTGTTGTAATTATTATAATTTCATGCATATAAAATGACCACTTATACTTATTTAACATTCAGTATATTTTATCATCTATTTTTGAACAACGTTATTTATGCCAAAAATAACATTATGATATTATTTGTATTGTTTAGTGAAAATATCACATTCTAATAAACAATATGAACGCATTATAATTCAATAGTAAAAGTGAATACCACGTCTATATCTATGTCTAAACTTTAGGCGATGATTATTTAGATATAAATATAATAACGCCTATCAACATCATCTAGATCCACATATCATGCTATCTTCAAGAAAAAACCACTAGTTACCCTTAGCCTAAACCTATGAGACCCTACCAACACCTCATAGATCCATAAACATAATACATATATAACAAATACTCATAATAAGATGAACAATCAAATATGTTTGTTAGGTTTATTTGGATATAATGCCATGATCACATTCAATACATAAAAGACCTAATAATGTAAAAACCTAAATCCAACAAGATATAACTTAGTTATACATGGTGGTGGTAGCTAAATAGAAAGTGTAGAAGAAGAACCCCCATTAGACAATATGATGTTCCTTTGTTAGTCAGCCTTGTCAAGTGCAAATTTTGACTTAAAATGAACCATCTTTCTTGTCACTTTTCAACTCAATTCTCATGTTTTCATAGATGTAATTCATGTTTTCGTGTGATTCTTCGATTATATTGCAAACACCTTTGAATTCCTTGATGTGTATTTTATTGTGCAGCAATTAGGCTTAAAATATCAATGAGTAAGACACAAAAGATTGGACAAGGAAGACAAAGAAATGTGAAGATTCTGCAATGTTCGCTGGGCGAACAGTAGCGAGCAGCCAACGAATGTTTGCTGAGCGAAGTATCAGCGAGGAGGAAACTTTGGAAGTCAGTAGCTAAAGAATCCAAAGTTTATTGTGCGAACTTGTAGTGAGGGAATTCGCAGTGCAAAGGATTGCTCGCACTGCGAACTCAAATATTTTCCAAGGGCGGTTTAACTGTTCCTGAGGCACTTCAAGTGCCAAAAAGGGGACTTTGCTAGGCGAATAGGTTGTTTGCAGTGCGAACATGACAGATTTGTAAATACTATATAAGTACCTTTATTGCTTTTTAGAAACATATGATATATTTTGGAATCAGAACTTTATCTCTCTTCATTTCAAGCATATCTTAGAGAGAGAGATACAAACCCTACGAGGGAGAAGATAAGATCTTTGATCTCTTGTTGGAGTTTAGATGTAATCTTTTGATACTTTATGTATTTCATCTAATTTATGTATTGTGAACTAGTTTTGATTCTCTATTGTTGATTGTCTTTGATTTCTTATTTGTGGGTCTTGACAAAACTCATTTCAAATCTTTGATCTTAGATTTTCATCTATCAATGAGCCAACTTTTGACATGGTTTTGTAACTTGATATTCATTTGCATAATTTCTATTTTATTGTGTTGATTAAGTAGCATGAGTAGGACCAATACGGCAAAGACCGCAATAACGCTTGACAAACGGTATTGTAAGGATACGAAATAATAATGATGAAGAACGATGTTCACATACATTTGACATATTAGGTGAATGCATATAAAAATGGTTAATCATGTGTACGTATTCTGATCATGGCGTTATATATGAATCAAATCATTAATTTGATATGGATGTTATAGTAATATATGTTGGGTCTAAACTCTAGACATAGATTTTGGTTGAACATTCACGTGAGTATCAGTTTTTAATGCTCTGTGTTGGTTTTGTTGCGTGAGATATCACCGATGAGACAATACGGTTAGTCTCTCGACTTTGCATTTTATATACCTCTATTGTGAGTGATACGTGATGATATTAGAAAAAAGTTTGAGTTGTGTATAACATGATTAGAAGAATGCACGTGTTATCAATTGATGACATCCAATCTCAACAAGGCTCCGTTTATATTTAAGCCTTTACTTTATATTTTCAGTCTTTATCTTTTTTACCTTTATTTTTGGTGCCTAAAATCTTTTAACCAAACTTTTGCACCACAAGTTTAGAAATATAGAGACTGTTGAACGACGTTCTTTCCCTCGTACCGATCCCTGTGGAGACGATATAAACTCCGGAGGGAATTCCTTCAAAACTAAATTTTTGCTTCTTTCCGCTTTACTGCAGTTTGAACAAACCTCAATAGACATTCGATATTATAACTACTCCAACTCTCTCTCGGTGAGACTTTTACTAAACAATAAACAAACTAACATTATGTAAAACTTATTTATTAAAACAATTAGCCCTTTATTTATAAATTTTCAAAATCAATCTTCATTTCTTTGGGCAAGCTATAACTCTCCTAGCAAATCTTGCTTTTAGATTGTTTTTCAAAAAAGTATTCTCCAATAGCCTTTGTGAGCCGCCCTAAATTCAATGGACAAGATGAAGATTCCCTAAATGATTTTCCTATTTTTACCATTTCATTCGGCCTCCAATTCCTTTACCTAAGAGACTTAGTGTCTCCTCAACTAGGCTATATACAATTCTGCCTGAGGGACTTAGATCCCCCAAATTAACCATACTCTTTCCTGAGGGGCTTAGAATCTCCTCGGGCAGAACAAGTACTCAAGAATCACGCTTGAGAAGTGTGACAAATATCCAACCTAAAAGACTTGATCACAAGTCTTTTCTGAAGGCCTGATAAAAGTATTGGCCGAGAGGCCAACTCATTATTTTATCCGAGGGACTTAATGTCTCTTCGATCGGGTTACATATATCTTAATTAAATAAACCCGAATTTCCTAAGATAACTTGGGCCTCACTTGAGAAAATATAGGTTCTCGGGATACTTCTATTGAGCTACAATTTTAAAACACTTCATCTTCTATCAAAGGTCTCGTGCTTGAAGAACTATGCAATGTTATAATTGTAAAAGGTATGATATTAATAGCTGGTCTTTTGATTGTGTCTAATCGACATTCACAAGTTATAAATATGACAAATGATGATGATCCTTAGGGTGCGTATAATAGAGCACCTATTTTTAAAGGCAAAAATTATACTTATTGAAAAGCGAACATGTATGTACACTTATTATCGATTAACTTTTTCTTGATTGGAAAACAAAACTAATAAATTTTCTCAAAGTGACGATAATCCAAATTCCGGTGAATGTATAACAAAGCCTTAGATCCTTCTGTCTTGATTCTTTGAAGGTGTATTTTTTAAAATATGTAGGTTATACACCTACTATTCTTTCCTTTCTAGCAGAATTTCAAGCACATCTTGTACTCTAAACAATGATTTCATCAAAGCACTTCAACTTTCTCAATTGCTTCCATCAAAAGTCAGAATGTTGGATGAAAAACACCCATTTGTATTCATTTCTTTTGTTTCAAGAAACTCTCAAAGTTACTCTTCTCACAGTGTTTCCCAAATATTTTTCTCACAAGATCACTCGTGTTATCCTATAAATCAACATTAAGTCTTTGATGATACTCTTAAACCGTACTCTCAATGTTTAATTAATGACACATCAAAGTAAACAAAAAATAAAAAATAAAAAGTTTGAGCAAATGTGATAAACTTGCAATGCAAGTTATACCATATACATGTACACTATATGAAAATTGGTACTAAATGAAAGCCATACAAGGGCTATATATAGATAGTCTCCATGTTAAATAACAAACTTCTTAACCACAAACTAACTAACTTCATTAAATGGTAGTTTCAGAATAATACATCTTCAACCACTAAATTGTCCCTAGACATTCAATTTATGTCCACTCCATAACATAAAGAAAAATGCTATTTTTACACCATTTTCTACACCCAATACTCCGTATGCACTGTTCATCGTATTTATACGGTGAACATTGTTTTTTTATTAAAATAATATATATTTTTAAAATATTAATTTTTTAAAAAGAAAATATTTATTTTTAAAATTTATTTTATAACACAAATATAAGATTACACATTAACCAACTTCACACTTGCATTAACCACAAAAATCTACATCATTAGTCAATTATTTTATCTATAATTTATTAACCACTTTCACTAATTCATTAACTAATAAAATACACACTATTATCTATGTTCAGAGGAATTTGTTCAAAAATATGTGAACAGTAAATTGGGTGTAGGGTATAAAAAAAGGGTGTCAACATAACAATCCTGTAACATAAATTATGGTATAATATCACATGAAACATAGATAATAGTGCGTATTTTATTGTAAAACTTTATATATATTATTCAGAATTAAAATTCGGTTAGATAACTTTCGAAATAGAGATTAATTATGGTTAGTAGATGATTGATAAATTGTAAAACTTTATGTCAAAATCACATGACAAGAATGGGATATTGTGACAAGACAAGAAACAACATATATATTCATAACTTCCAATATAATTGTAACAAACTACAAGAAAAATTTATATAACATCAATTTATCTACTCGGGCTTGTAGCTATAAAGATGGCATCTTAATTTTGAAACCACTTAACCTTATACTATCCTTATGTCTAAACCCGATATATCTCTACATAGAAAGGAAAATAAAACATAGGAAAATACATAAAACAGAAAAAATTCCCAAATTTAGGGTAACAAAAATCAACTTCCAAACTAAATAAAATTTAACACCCTTATTACTGAGCTTGATGAATTCATGAAATTTTGATCATTATTCTAACAGAGAGGTAGGTCCAATGGAGGTGGTTCTATAGATTGCAATTTCCCAACTCCATCTTCTACCAATAGAATAGTTGCCAAACCCCAACCTATGTGAACATCCAAGTGACAATGCATAATCCAAGCACCTAAATTAAACACAAAATTAATCAATGCCATTAGTAATTCTAATCTAGTTTCTGAGACAACTATAAACAATTAATTTTGTTCAGATTCAATTTCTGATGATAATATTTATTTATATTTAACAAATTATTGAGATTTATAAATCAACGACTTTTTTAAAAAAGGTATTAAAAAATGTTGTAATTTACTCGAAATATTACCTGGGTTATCTGCCACAAACCGGATAACGGCCCAACCGTTGGCCGGTACAGCCACTGTATTCCTCTGAGGTGGATCAATAAGGTTGAATTTTGCAGTATCTTTCTTGGGATCAAAATTTCCAAAACCTTCAGCAACAATATAGAAATCATATCCATGAAGATGAATTGGATGATTCTCTGGAGTGACAATACTTGTATCCTGCAACACAATCTGAACCCTTGATCCAAACTTCAACTTATAAGCTTTAGTCCCCGGAGTAGGTTGCCAAAGCGAACGACTCACGTTACCGGTGTAATCGAATTTCACAGGCGGTTTCGCGGGAAAATCAGTGGTGAAAACTCCAGGGATTCTGTTATAATGAGCCTGCAATATTGAAATATTGTTTGGGAGAGTAAAAGAAACGTTGTTCATGCTCGCTGTGAAGCGTGTCCGTTTAATAGGACCTTGACATCTTCTATCCCTGAAATTTTTCGGGCAATTGTTGAGTCCTAAACCAATTGTGAAAAGGAGATTTTCGTCGATTTCAGCAGGGACTTCAACTTTTCTTGGACTGAAAAAGCTTCTACTGAATTTAGTAACCGTGTTGGTGTCGTTGTAAGCGGGGAGTGGTGGCATGATTGGTTTGTTTTTTATTGAGTTGTCATATTGGAGTATGGCTGTGGTGGTTGTGTTATCGAACGGTGCATTTTGAGCCGATTGATAAGCGCGTGCTGCAATGTAGTATCGAGAAGGTGGTTGGTTGGCGGTTAATAAGACGTCGGTGGTTTGGCCCGGTCCTAACATAAGGACACGGGTCGTGAAAGGTTTAAGATAAGAGGCGTCAGCGCCAACCACAGTAAATTTGTGGTTGGCGATTGTGAAGAAAAGTGGTTGGTTGAGCGCGGCATTGATCACTCTCAGAAGGTTTGTTTCGCCCGAATGTATGGGAACAGTTGTTGTGCCTGCATTGTCAATTGCTTATGTCAAATAAAATAAAAATTGAAATAAATTAAGAAAAATATATTGTATGGTAATCATAAATATTTTTAATTCAAAAATAAAAGAATAAACATATTGTCCCATTAAAATAGACCCTTTACCAAAAAAGCAACGTCCCATTGACCATTTTTTCCATAAAATCATTGAAATATCTTTTAATAATTTCATCTAGTGTATAATTATATGAGCTCTATAGGTTCTATTTTTCTTTCTTTAAAGCATTTTACTTTTATGATTGCTTCATGTTTTCATAATGTCAAATCTTGTGTAAAGTCAGATTTTGTGATGCATGTTTAATGTTGCAATTGTAATCATAAAATTTAAGAAATTTATCAAACCTTTGGTAGAGCACTTGTAAAGATCACCAGGTTGACCATTGATAGTATATGCATCAGAAATATTTGGAGCTGCTCCAGTTCTTTTGGACTCCCTCAAAACATCTATAGGATTTGTATCCCACCATTCCCCTAATCATCATTTTCATAACTAATTAGTTTAACGCGATCATAAACATCGATCAGATACAACATTAACACAGACACGCCAACTTCCACTCAGAAATATTGGTATTACATAAGTTACCTAAGAGAATGGTTGTTTCACGGTGTGGCTTAGGAAAAGGGAAGGTTTCTCCTTCCCTAGGACGGACGATTAAAGCACCATAAACGGTGGCTCTAAGCCATGAACTATGAGCATGCCACCAAAGTGTCCCTTCTTGTCCATCAACAGTGAAGCGGTAGGTGTAACTTCCACCGGGACGAATAGGACATTGTGTCACGAATTCCGGACCATCTGCCCATCCTGTCCTCATTTGTCGAACACCATGCCTAACATATACAACAAACATTAATAACTCATAAGTTTTTTATCTGTTATTCAATAAATTTGAAAAGAGAATATTTGCTTATAATAATGACCAGAATAGTATCGCGTACCAATGAATGGTCACATTATAACGAGCTTTGTTAGTGACTTTAACGACCAAAGTGTCACCATTATTAATCTCCAAAGTTGGACCTGGGTATTGCCCATTCACAGTTATGGAGTTATGAGTTTTGCACAGCCTCTTCACTGGTGTTGCTTCAACCTATAAATGTATAAATATTATATTACATTAAAATATTTGAATTTGAATAGCTATAACTAAAGAGAAAGATGAATATGAAAGAACGTACAAGAAACTCATGGTTGTGAATTTTTGCATGTGCTAAAGAATAAGCAGAAGATAACAAGAGAACAAAAATGGTTATGAAGATGGAAGAATATTTTGAATTTGTTTTGACACACTCCATCTCTTAGCAAGAAACTATGAGTATACCTTTGTGTGAATGTGTTTTGGGTTAAGATTGCAATGCAAATAAGAGTTGGAGAAAGTGGTTTTTATAGGAGAGATTAGAGGAGAGAGATTAATATAATGTTGTTTAAGTTTGGCACAAATTAGATTTTGTTGAGATCAATGTCATAAAAAAATTAAGTAACTTGGTTCTACCATATATGTGAGGTTGTTGCACCCACTAGTTAATCAAGTTCATAAATGCGTGCTTCACAAGTCTTCATTTATAGGTTGAATTTTGAAAAAGCATAACTATATGTTTTGAAAATTGTAAATCTAATGAAATTTCTATTAAAAGAATATTGTATATTTTGGCCTTATTGTTGGTTACATATTACATGCAGAAAACAACATAAAATTAATTTTGTGCAACTGATGGAATAATCTCATATATTATTGTGTGCAATGCATAATAGTAAGCATGTGAGTATTCTTGTACTCTCAATAATACATATTTGCTGCCACATCAGCAGTGTAAACTAACTCCAATCTTGTTGATCTAACATCATTGCCACGTCAGCATACATTGTATCAAATTTGCTCTAACTCTATTGTCAAATCGGCAATAGCAAAAATTGGAAGACAATTGTAATTTTATACTCTAATATTTCACTCACAAACTTGTAGGATTATTTATTTTCTCTATGCTGATTTATTTTCAATAACTGGTAGTAGAGTTTTTTACTTTAAGTTGAAAATACCACGTCTTAGTATGTTTTGCGGTTGTAGTTTTATTTGATTTTCTATTAAAAAAAAGATAATGTTGTGAAAGTGTTATCGAATTGCGGTCATATATTCTACTGTAAAGTTATCAAAAGAAAGGCGATGGAAGAATATCTTTTATATGTGAAAAATTCAAGTCAAATGTGTATTAATACAATCAATATGACACAAGATATTGATTAGTCTATGAGCGTTGATTGACATTGATTCAAGATGTGTTATGAGATTATGTTGGTGATTGAAGACCTTTCCGCCAACATGATAGGTGCACCATAAAATATCGACTTGATTTTTGCCATGTGATAATTCTTGATATAGTTTACCTTCAAGTAAAACATTTTCTTCGTGATCGAGTTTGATAGTTCTTTTGAATTATAATTGTCATTAAAGACAATGTAAAATTTTTTTTGAGTGATATAACTTCAAGTGACTATATTTTTATAATGGAGTATGATAGTTCTATTGAACTATGATTGTAGATGAAAACAATGTCAGAATTCTCATAGCGATTTACCTTCATGTGATTATACTATTTTATGATGGGGAGTGGTTTTTTTTAACTACACTACTACAAAAATCCATTTTATCTCACTTAAAAAAAGAGTTTTTATCTTGGTTTCATATGCGAGGTAACAAAGGAAGTTATAAAAACTTATTACTTTCTCTCTCAATTATAGTTCCATGCACCGAGGAAAAATTGTATTAGTCACGAGTTTGAATTCCATCAATAATATTTTTTGTATTTTTAAAATTAGAAAGCGTGTGTCATTATACGTCTCGATTTTTGTTAATATCCGAGATGGAAAGCAAGTATTTATCTCAATTTGAATTTATAATTGAGAGAAAAAACATATTTTTTGTCAATTATAATTTTTATTAAATTTTAATTTAACCTGTACATTTTTAGACAAAAACTATATACACATTTTGTAACAAAATTGTTATGGACTGGGCCCCGAACTGAACTATGTTGGCCCAGCCCAATAATGTTCTACCAGGCCTTGCCCGGTCCGAGCTACCGAGTCGGGCACAAGATCCCTGACTTGCTAGAATGACCTCCCCTCGGGGAAGAACCGGCTCAACCATGCCGGGCAAGTGAATCGCCCGTGCGGCCAAGCAACGCCCTCCGCGGGCGGTGTTCCCCATGCCGTCGAGCAGGACCCCATGCCTCTCCCACGTCCACATGTGCTCCCCTCCTCGAGGAGAACAACGTGCCTCCGGAAAACCTCGCGAGCCCTCCTCCGCGGGGAGAACAACGTGCCATGCGCACGTTCTCCACGTGCTCCCCTCCGCGGGGACACGTCATTCCCCAACTGCCCACCTCCGAAAGAGCAGGTCAAACCCACTTTCCGGAGACCACGGGACAATTGGACTAGGGCGAAGACCACTTCCTGGTCTTCACTACGCCACGTAAGCCCTAACAGTCACCTGGGTTGGGTCTGACAATACAGCCCAGCATAAGTGACCGTTGGCCCAGCGTTGGGGTCTCTCTATAAATACCCTCTTCCTCAAGAGGGTCAGGTAATTCACTTCTTACCCGATTTCTGTGTTTTGCTTTCACTCTGCCCAATCCCTTACTTTGGCATCGGAGTGTCTTGCAGGTACACCCCCCTCTCCTCCTCATCATCGGTGAACAGGTAGCAGTCCAACAGAGTGTGGCCAGCCCGTGATCCCCTTCTGATTAGGTCAGATCAGTGGCGCCGTCTGTGGGAACAGAAACTTCCCCGTTATTCCGAGCAGAAAACCAAAGTTTCACCAGCATTATACGATCATGGCTAGTCCACACCACAACGATACCATGCGCGACTCCGTGCTCAACGTTGCCGCCAACGAAAGCAAGCAGGTGGAGACGTCACGTCCGACAGAGATCGACGAGAGAGATGGCCAGACCGCTTCCCCGTCATCCGCAGAACTCCTGCGCCAGGCCGACCACCGGCCCCCGAGCCCGGCGGTGTTCCAACTCGTTCCTATCCCAGCGGGAGCGGACCCAACGGTGGCCGCCATCTTCGCGGCCATCAACCAGACGAACCAGCTGCTGTTCCAGCAGAACGCACGGATTGGAGCGCTGAAGCGGGAAGGCCCCCCAAGATCCCCCCCGCGGAGAGACCAGAATGGGGGCTCGAGGAGCCCCTCACCTCAACCACGAAATTGCCGACCTCGGCTGGAGAGGCCCCGAACAGAAGTGGTGCGAGAGCGCACCAGATCCCCAGCAAGACAAGTTCGCGGGAGGCACCGGAACACTTCGGCGATCCCGGCCAGGAATCCACGCGTTGAACCCCCGGTCAGGAGGCTGAGGACCCGAAACCAGGTGCCTGTTCTAAACGGTTCATATCCTCCTCAGTCACCCGCTCTCAGCGACGAAGACGACTACCGCACTCGGTTGTCCCGGGAAATCATAGCCGCCCTAGTAGCTACCCAGAACGCGACACGTGGCGGAAGCAGACAGACGCGTCTCTTCAAAGATTTAATTTACAATATATATATATATATATATATATATATATATATATATATATATATATATATATATATATATATATATATATATATATATATATATATATATATATATATATATATATATATATATATATATATATATATATATATATATATATATATATATATATATATATATATATATATATATTCTTGCTATCTCACTCTTCTATTATGATTAACACTTTATATATATATTGGAACCGTGGTGAAAACGTGGACCCTGTTCTTGCACCACATCAACAACTTGTCTCTAGCAATTTGTCTCACTTCTTGTATCAATTCATGTAGCAAAATCTTCCTTTCCTGCAAGAAACAAAGAAAGTAATCAACAAAGATAACAAACAAATAAAAAAGCAATCAAAACATATGCAAGTAGGAAACTAAACAAACATTATACCTTTTTAGCTTTGTAGAATTTGAAAATCAAACAATATCAAGTGATGGAAAAACCTTGGAGAGCATATAAATTAAAATTGGAAATGACATTCAAGGTGAAGTTGGTCTCATATGTTCTTCTTCACCCATCCTAATCCCCACACACACAAAAAACAACATCAATTATTAAATTTAAAAGAGAACGATAAAATAAACACATCAATAAAATGTCGAAGAATACAAAAACACAAACCTTTGAATGAAGGAACCTTGAAGCTTATAGCATATGCAGACCAAACATGATTATTCATTATACTACTCCAAATCATATACTTTGTTGGAGCTGAAAACTAATCACACCAGAATCATAATTCTCACAACTCATATAACGTTGTTTAGTGTCAGGCTTCACAATCTCTGTGGATATGACTAAAATAAGAATGTCTGTTACATTGTTAGGAAGATTCTAAAATCCCACATTGATTTGAGATAGATCATTGAAATAGTTTATATAGAGTGGCACCCCTCACCTTACCAACCGGTTTTGTAGGGTTGAGTTAGATCAAATTCTAATATGGTATCAGAGCCTATCAATCGGACTTTGGATAGTCCACCGTTTAAATCCATGCACCAAGCCTAAAAAGAGTGTTGGGCATAAGGGTGTGTGTTAGGAAGATCCTAAAGTTCCACATTGGTTTGAGATAGAGCATTGAAATAGTTTATATAGAGTGACACTCCTCACCTTACCAACCGGCTTTGTAGAGTTGAGTTAGGTCAAACTCTAATATACATCATTCTCAAAATGTATATTGCATTGCCTTCTTCAAGACTAACTAAAAATGAATCATAATTTTTCTTCTGTTGTTATTGTTATAGCTCTCAGGTGGTTCCGCAAATACCGCTCCAACAATCGAATACACTAGAGCAGTCTTCATCAATGGTGCCATGAATATTGTGAACATGACAATCTTACATATGTTATTGCTGAGGGAGTGTTGAAATTGAACCCATAGTATGAATGGTGCAAGACTTGGCACGTAGAAAAAAAATAAAAATAGAAGAGTTAACGATCATAATGGAAGAGAGAGATTGCAAGCATATATATATCGAATTTGTAAATTAAATCATCAAAGACAAAGTGATCTAGTGGTACAACTTCTTGTATTTTAGAAAAGTTCTTAGAATTTTGATGACGTTGGGGATGAACATATGCCATGTCGGATTCCACACGTATGAACATATGACACATTAGATGTACACATGCAAAACTAGACTTCGTTTGTAAGAATTAGACGGAAAAGACTTAGTTGATGTTGTTTGAAGATATAAGAGACTACATTGGTCTTTTGAAAAGATAAT